GGGGGGTGCTTCTGGGGCCAGGCATGGGAAGGGGCTGGGGCAGCGCAGGGGGTGGGGAGTGTAGTAGGGACTGGGCAGGCATGGAATGGGGCTGGCAGGGTGCAGCAAGTGGGGGGTGCTGCAGGGCCCAGGCACAGGGAGGGATAGGGGATGGAGCAGTTGGGGGTGTTCCAGGGGCTGGGCTTGGGGAGGGGCTGGGAAGGGACAGAGTGCCCTCCCCATGCCTGACCCCTGCAGCGCCCCCCTGTCCGCTGTGTCCCGACAACCTCTCCTTGTGCCTGGCCCTTGCAGAGTCCTACCACCTGCTGTGCCATGCCAGCCTCTCCTAGTGCCTACCTGTGCCTCCTGCCTGCTACATTGTCTTTCCCTCCCTGTATCCACCCCAGTCTCTGCAGAACACTCAGCCTGCTGCATCCTGAATACCTATCCTTGTGTCCAGCCCATTCAGCACCTCTCTACTCTCTGCCCCTCGCTAGCCTCTCCCTGTGCCCAGGCCCTGCAGCGCCCCCGACTGCTCCATCCTCTGCCCCTTCCCTTGCCCAGCCTTTTCAGAGCCCTGCCCCCCTCACTCCCCTCTCTCTGACCGCAGGAGGGAAGGCAGGGCTTTGCACAGCTACCCTGCACCCAACGTCCCCTCCTCCCCGCAGTAGCATCCCACCCGGACTGCAGCCAGCCAGCAAATAACAATCATGCTCACCCTGCGTCAGGGAGGAAGCACGATGGTAATACCCGAACACCACAGAATTCACCATGACCTTCATATGTCTTTCATCTTGCTTTCTGTTTTGTTGTTGACATCTGAATTTCTTTCTTCTTCAGTGATGCCTTTCTGTTTTTCTTCGTAAGAAAGAAACTGCAGCCTAAACACTTTAAAACATTCTTTTATTGCTGTGGATTTAAAGCAGCTAGTCATTTGTCTTTAAGGGTTTTAACTTCTGAAGGCTGCTTTTAAGATAATATTTCTGTAACATTTTGCAAATTAAAGAACATCGTTATTGGAGTTTGAAAAACAATTCTTAATGCCTGCTCATCAAAGGACTCAGCCTACTAGTCTTGATGAAGAATATGACTATTATTGCTATTTGTATTGCTGCAGCAATGAGAAGTCAGGGTCCTGCTGTGCTCTGAACTGTACAAACAAGTAGCAGGCAATCCCTGCTCCCAAAAGTTTACAATCTGAACAGATTAATTACACGTTGCCACGTATGCATAAAGCCACGTGTATTCAGTTTTCATTGGCATACCTTTTTGCCATGCAGTAGATCAGCTCTTTTCCCCCATCAGTTCTAGCCTCTCCGACCATAAAAATATATTCCCTCTCAAATGGATAAATTAGTTCTGCTTCTCTGCTGCTGCCTTCATCCTTCTTGCTTTCCCAGGTTCTCAAGATATCTTCTGCCTCCTCTTACATTGGGGCTATTTACTAATCTTTTTAGAGTCTAATGCTGTGCCCATCAAATGCCTCCCTGAATTAGGAAATTGAACAAAAACAAATGTAGTTCCTCTTGTGTTACTGGTGGATGTTTTTTCTTGTTTTAAATAAGTTAATGGTCTATTTTGTAGTCTTAAGGAAGACAAAGTCAGAGAATTGTTCCCAGAAGCAACATTTGCTGCACTGCTCCTGGAAAATGATGGGAAAGCAGTCTGTTTCTGCACATTTAAAATAAGAATTCAAAATACCATTAATACACTTTTATATAGTGCTATTAATTTACACAGCACTTCAAAAAGTGCATGTGAGCTACCCAGACAGTGTGATGGGGCATATGTCTCTTCCCTACCATGAGTCTAATTAATGGTCTCTACTTGCCTATGATGTAGTCTTAAGATCAGCTGAACCAAGGCCCTTCTGCTAGCACAGAGCTGTGACTACTGGTTAGATCTTTGTTTAGATTTTTCATACTTTATTTGAATTGTGGCATGTAACTATGTAGGGGGACATGACAAGTGAGCTCCTATGTTATGGTTCTGGATAATACTTTGCCCAAAGTTATTCTCTGATTTCGTACTGCATTATTAAGATGCCATTCAATATTTGTTCCTAGTAGTATGCGCCTGCTGTTCTTCTATGATCTTTGTGCATTCAGGGTCAATAAAATTAATGATTTGAAAATCAGAATAATAATTTTACATTTAAATAAGATTTTTTTGTTATTTAAATTGAGAAGTTTTTGCTTTTTAAAATTAATCGATTTAAAATTAATTGCATTTAATACAAAATGTGTTAAGGCCTAACTCATTACAATACCTTAACACAGTTAAGTAAAAAAATAAATATGCTTTTTGAGTTCAGTTCAATTGCAGTTATATCCTAATGCAGCGTCACACAAATCATGAGCAAAAAGTCAGTTTAATAAATAAACAATATTTTACTTGCCATTTTCTAGCGTACTGAAGCATACAATTAATAAGCTATACAATAAAGCTATATAATTGCTTAAATAACTTGTATAATTATAGGCAGCAAAAAGATGTATCAAATCTAGCATATAAGCTTTATTGGATTACATTTTAGTGGGTGTATGTACCAGTGAGAGTCCATCATTCTAGAGAAAATAACTGCAGTACAAATTGAAATGTTTATTTAAAATTATCTAAATTGAAGCTTTAAATTTAGTGATTTAAATCATGACTTAAAATGCTTTGATTTAAATCAAGCTAACCTGCTGGATATAACATATTTGGAGAACTTCAACACATCAGGATCGATCACAGTAAGAGTGGCATCTTCTCCCATACCTTCGGCCCAACCAACTCAGCACGTGCCATTTTTTAAAAAGAGGAAAAATAGCTTGATCTAATTATTATTAAATTCTTTGCTAATCAGTCCAACTCCTCAAATTACAGTAGAACCCCAGAGTTATAAATGCCGTGAGAATGAGTTGCTCATAACTCTGAAATGTTTGTAACTCTGAACAAAACAGTATGGTAGTCCTCTCAAAAATGTACAGTTTAACATTGACTTCATAGAGGTTTGAAACTTTATTGTGCACAAGAAAAAATGCTGCTTTTACCATCTTAGTTAAACAAAAGAAGCACAGAAGCCATTTCTTTAAACATTACTGTGCTTTTTTTTCCTCCCACGGGAGTCTCTGCTGCTGCCTGAGTCTTTACTTCCAGTTCCAAATGAGGTGTGTGGCTGGCTGATCAGGTTGTAATTCGAGGCTGCATCTAGACTGGCAAGTTTTTCCGCAAAAGCGGCCGCTTTTGGGCAAAAACACGCCATCTGTCTACACTGGCCGTTTGATTTTGTGCAAAAGCACTGATGTTCTACTGTCCGAAATCAGTGCTTCTTGCGCAAATGCTTTGATGTTCCTGTTTGGGCAAAAGTCCTTTTCCAGAAATGTTTTTGCGCAAGAAGGCCAGTGAAGACAGCTAAAAACTGTTTTGTGCAAAAAAGCCCCGATGGCGAAAATGGCGATCAGAGCTTTCTTGTGCAAAACCGCGTCTAGATTGGCACGGATGCTTTTCTGCAAAAAGTGTTTTTGCGGAAAAGCGTCCGTGCCAATCTAGACGCTCTTTTCCGCAAATGCTTTTAACCGAAAAACTTTTCCGTTAAAAGCATTTGCAGAAAATCATGCCAGTCTAGACGCAGCCCTAGTGTTTGTATCACTGAGGTTCTACTTCATACATGGAATAAACCCAGCTCCATTGAATGTGAGACTTTGCTTTGATGCCCATGTCAAGATTGCATTTTGGTAACCTGAAAAAAAGAGAGCAAAGCTTCTAGTGTT